GCTGTGACCCACCACGCCTGGCCCAGTTCAGGTTTTCAAGTGAGGGCAAATCTATGTGCCAACTGTGCCACTGGAGAAGATGTAAGGAAATGCTGGCTACTTGACTTTCTTATGTCCCTGACGGATAAGGTCAGTCAAATCCCAGCACCGTTTCCTGCTGAACTCTGAAGTGGTTTTAAAATTCTCCTCTACATATAGCTCTTGCCAGTTGTTTTGAATTTTCAGCAAAGTGAAACAGAGGCCCTAGCAGGCATATCCAAAGACACATAGTGAGTTGTCAGAGCCAGTATCAGCCTGGCTGACTGTTACAGTAAGAAAAGTGGGTCAGGTTCAGTGGCTCATGCCGGTAATCCCAACACTTTGGGAGCCCGAGGCATGAGGATTGCTTGAGGCCATGAGTTTGAGACCAGCCTGGGCAACATAGTGACACCGCATCTCTACCAAAAAAAAAGAAAATTTCTTTTTTTTTGAGACAGAGTCTCGCTCTGTCGCCCAGGCTGGAGTGCAATGGCACAATCTCGGCTCACTGCAAACTCCGCCTCCTGGGTTCAAGCAATTCTCTTGCCTCAGCCTCCTGAGTAGCTGGGATTACAGGCACGCGCCACCACGCCCAGCCAATTTTTGTATTTTTAGTAGAGACGGGGTTTCACAATGTGGGTCAGGCTGGTCTCGAACTCCTGACCTCATGATCCGCCCGCCTCAGCCTCCCAAAGTGCTGGGATTACAGGCATGAGTCACTGCCTCCGGCCCAAAAAATCGTTTAAAACTTAGCCAGTCATGGTGGCGCCCACCTGTAGTCCTAGCTACTTGGGATACTGAGGCAGGAAGAATGCTTGAACCCAGGAGTTTAAGGCTGCGGTGAACTACGATCATGCCACTGCACTCCAGCCTGGGTAACAGAGCAAGACCCTGTCTCTAAAACAAGAAAAGAAAATTGTAGAGTGGTCTTCACATTCGGAGGGTCTGCATTTCATTTCCAGTGCCACGGCAGATAACCTATGTGACTTCAGCACGTTCCTTAACATCTTTGAGCCTCAGATTCTCCATCCATCATAGCAAAATTAACCTATACAATTTAATATTTAATTTAATTAATTATTTTATTTTATTTTAATTTAATTTATTTTATTTTATTTTTTGAGATGGAGTTTCGCTCTTGTTGCCCAGGCTGGAGTACAATGGTGGGATCTTGGCTCACTGCAACCTCTGCCTCCCAGGTTTCAAGCGATTCTCCTCAGCCTCCTGAGTAGCTGGGATTTCGGGCATGCGCTACCATGCCCGGCTAATTTTTTTTTTTTTTGTATTTTTAGTAGAGACGGGATTTCTCCATGTTGGTCAGGCTGGTCTCGAACTCCCGACCCCAGGTGATCTGCCTGCCTCGGCCTCCGAAAGTGCTGAGATTATGGGTGTGAGCCACTACGCCTGGCCTTATTTATTTATTTATTTATTACTATTATTTTTAGATGGAGTCTCACTCTGTCACCCAGCCTGGAGTACAATGGCACGATCTTGGCTCACTGCAGGCTCCGCTTCCTGGGTTCAAGCAATTCTTGTGCCTCAGCCTCCCAAGTAGCTGGGATTACAGGCGTGTGCCACCACACCTGGCTAATTGTTGTATTTTTAGTAGAGACAGGATTTCACCATGTTGGCCAGGCTGGTCTTGAACTCCTGACCTCCAGTGATCCTCCCACCTCAGCCTCCCAAACTGCTGGGATTACAGGCTTGAGCCACCGCACCCAACTTTATTTATTTATTTTTGAGACAGGGTCTCACTCTGTCGCCCAGGCAGGAGTGCAGTGGTGTGATCACGGTTTACTGCATCCTTGACCTCCCGATCTCAGGTGATCCTTCCACCTCAGCCTCCCAAGTGTCTTGGACTACAGGCACACACCACCACATTCAGCTAGTTTTTAAATTTTTAGTAGAGACAGGGTTTTGCCATGTTTCTCAGGCTGGTCTCCAGCTCCTGAGCTCAAGCAATCTGCCCACCTTGGCCTCCCAAAATGCTGGAATTACAGATGTGAGCCACTGTACCCAACCAGCTCCTACCATTTTAGAGTCTTTGTGTGAATTAAATGAACAGCATATCCTCCTGAACATATATGTAAAAAATTCTAAACCACCAAAAAATTCAGCAAATTAAATCAAGCAATGTATATAAACAAAACTACAATATCCATGACCAAGTATGGTTTGTCCCATGAAGATTGGTTTAATATTAGAAAATCAATTAATGGCTGGGCGCGGTGGCTCATGCCTGTAATCCCAGCACTTTGGGAGTTCGAGGTGGGTGGATCACCTGAGGTCAGGAATTCGAGACCAGCCCGACCAACATGGAGAAACCCCACCTCTACTAAAAATACAAAATTAGCCAGGCGTGGTGGCCCATGCCTGTAAACCCAGCTACTTGGGAGGCTGAGGCCGGAAAATCGCTTGGATCTGGGAGGCGGAGGTTGTGGTGAGCCGAGATTGCGCCATTGCACTGTAGCCTGGGCAACAAGAGCGAAACTCCGTCCCCCACCCCAACCAAAAAAAGAAAATCAATTAACATAATTCATGACATTAATGTATTAAAGCTGAAAAATGGGCTGTGTGCGGTGTCTCACGCCTGTAATCCCAACACTTTGGGAAGCCAAAACAGGAGGATTGCTTGAGCCCAGGAGCTTTGGACCAGCCTGGGCAATATGCCAAAACCCCATCTCTACTAAAAGTACAAAGGAAAAAAAAAAAAATTAGCCAGGCTTGGAGGCACATACCTGTAGCCCCAGGTACAGGGGAGGCTGAGGTGGGACGATCGCTTGAGCCTGGAAGGCAGAGGTTGCAGTGAACCAAGATTGCCCTACTGCACTTCAACCTGGGCGACAGAGCAAGACCTTGTCTCAAAAATTAATTAATTAATTAAAGCTAAAAAATGATTTCAATTGATGTAAAACAATGTCAGCAAAATTCAACATCCTTTTTTTAAAAAGTCTTAGGATCTAGGAATAAAACAAAATGTTCTTAACCCGGTAAAGGCCATCTGGAAAAAAACCCATAGCAAAGATCATGTTTAGCTGCAAAATGTTTAAAGCACCTCCCTTAACATCAGGAATAAAGGGCCGGGCATGGTGGCTCACGCCTGTAATCCCAGTACTTTGGGAGGCTGAGGCGGGCAGATCACGAGGTCAGGAGTTCAAGACCAGCATGGCCAGCCTGGCCAACATAGTGAAACCCTATCTCTACTAAAAATACAAAAAAATTAGCCAGGCGTAGTGGTGGGCACCTGTAGTCCCAGCTACTTGGAAGGCTGAGGCAGGAGAATCGCTTGAATCTGGGAGGCGGAGGTTACAGTGAGCCAAGATGGTGCCATTGCACTCCAGTCTGGGTGACACAGGGAGACTCTGTCTTTAAAAAAAAAAAAAAAAAAAAATCAGGAGTGAAGAAGCCGCTATCACACTGTAGCCCCTAAAATGACAAGAAAAATAGATAACAGGTACAGACTGAAGATGAAAAAATAAAATTGTCATTATTTGAAGGTGTTTTATGTTATACAATAAAAGCAAAAGAACAAAATAGCTCAGTGGGAAAACTGGGGGTGGCAAGGGGAGATGGAGGCAGGTAAATGACTAGTAAGAATCTTATGCATGAAGTAAAAGACATAATTAGCACATTTGGGATAGGAATTACCTTTGGTGGGAGGAGGGAAATAAATATGTTTAGGGAAGGGCTTATGAGGCTTCAACGCTACTAAAAGGGCCAGGCATAGTAGCTCACACCTGTAATCCCAGCACTTTGGGAGGCCAAGGTGGGAGGATCACTGGAGCCCAAGAGTTTGAGACTGGCCTGGGCCACATAGTGAGACCCCATCTCTGCAAATAATTTTAAGATTAACCGGACATGGTGGCATGCACCTATAGTTCCAGCTACTTGGGAGGCTGAGGTGGGAGGATTGCTTGAGCCTGGAAGGTCGAGGATGCAGTGAGCCTTGATGGCATCACTGCACTCCAGCCTGGGTGACAGAGCAAGACCCTTTTTCTTAAAAAAAGCTACTAAAAATGGGGCCAGACGCAGTGGTTCACACCTGTAATCCCAGCACTTTGGGAGGCGGAGGTGGGTGGATCACCTGAAGTCAGGAGTTTGAAACCAGCCCGGCCAACATGTCGAAACCCCATTTCTACTACAAATACAAAAATTAGCTGTGCATCGTGGCATGCGCCTGTAATCCCAGCTACTCAGGAGGCTGAGGCAGGAGAATTGCTTGAACCCAAGAGGCAGAGGTTGCAGCAAGCCGAGATCGCACCACTGCACTCCAGCCTGGGTGACAGAGCAGCCAACCAACAAGGAACAATAACAACAACAAAGAAAGCTACTAAAAGTGTTAGACTTACTTTTCTGAAAGCGAAAGCATTTATTTTATTTTATTTTTGAGACAGAATTTCACTCTTGTTGCCCAGGCTGGAGTGCAATGGCGTGATCTCGGCTCACAGCAACCTCCGCCTCCCGGGTTCAAGCAATTCTCCTGCCTCAGCCTCCAAGTAGCTGGGATTACAGGTGTGCACCACCATGCCCGGCTAATTTTGTATTTTTAGTAGAGACGGGGTTTCTCCACGTTGGTCAGGCCAGTTTCGAACTCCCGACCTCAGGTGATCTGCCCTTCTTGGCTTCCCAAAGTGCTGGGATTACCGGTGTGAGCCACTGCGCCCGGCGTGAAGCATTTCCGGTGTGAAAGCGTTTATTATTCTGTAAATGCACAGGTTGATTTTAGGCCTCTGTTTGCATATATAGTAGTTATATAAGGAATTTCTTGCAGTAAAAGACATCAGGTGATTTTTGTTTCCCTCGGTGCTTATTCCAATATATGGAGTCCCATCATTATTCCGATCCTTAGAATAATTAAGTGACCCCTTCCCATGATGAAGCCCCTATAAGACATAGCTAATTCATCACTGCCTAGCCACTCATTCCCGAAGGTCCCTGGCGTGGGGACTGGGCGGTGAGCGGATGCAACCTGTTATCTCCAGCAGATACTGGGGGCCATGGAGTCTCAGGTGGGGGGGGGCCCGGCCGGCCCGGCCCTGCCCAACGGGCCACTCCTTGGTACAAATGGAGCCACTGACGACAGCAAGACCAACCTCATCGTCAACTACCTGCCCCAGAACATGACCCAGGATGAATTCAAGAGTCTCTTCGGCAGCATTGGTGACATCGAGTCCTGCAAGTTGGTTCGGGACAAGATCACAGGTGTGGCTGCTGGAGTTGCCGGGGGCGCGGGGGAGAGCAGAGGCGGTAGCCTCAGAAATACAGAGGTGATGGGGGCAGGTGGGGCCCTTGCTGAGGTGTCTCGGGGGTAATCGAGGCAGGAAGTGGTCTAGGGATGTGAGGTCTGCTGGGGAGACCGGTGTGCCCCCTAGGTGAAGGTCTCAGGAGCGATGGAGGCAGGTGGGACTCTAGCATCGAAGGTGTCATCTGAAAACAGGAAGATGGGATCTTGGTGGGGAGGGGACAGTCTCTCAGGCCTGAGTTTGGGGGGCACACTGGCAGGTGTCAAGGCTGGGTGGGAAGGTCATCATTCTGGTTCTGCCCACAGGGCAGAGCCTTGGCTACGGGTTTGTGAACTATTCTGACCCCAATGATGCAGACAAAGCCATCAACACCCTCAACGGCCTCAAATTACAGACGAAGACCATCAAGGTTGGTGCCTCCTTCTCCAATCCCTCCACGACTGCCCACCCCAACTGACTGTCCCCAACCCCGTACTGCCACCTACCCGCCCCCACACATCCATGTCCACTGCCTTTCAGGACTCATCCCCAGAGGGGCTCAAATCTCCCCTCCAAGGCTTCCCAGCTGGGGTGGGGGCAATGACTTTCCCTCTCTAAACCTCAGTTTCCTCACCTGTCAATGGGGACAGTACTGGCTCCAGGATCTCTAGAGGCTCAGGGAGTCAGCCAGGCCCTGTAGGGCAGAGTGACCAGGGTCCCGTGAGCAGTCCCCTCCCTGCTTTTGTCATGGAAATGGGGGTGGGGGCCCATCTGCCATCTGGAGCCTAATTAGGGTCTGGGAGGGCGGGATTGGGGCGGCCCATCCCCCATCTTTGTGCAACGCTCCTCCCCCACAACCTCCCTTCTCAGCAGCTGCAGCTGGGACCCTACAAGCCCAGGTCCCCTGGGGGGGAATCGTCATGGAAACCCCCCTCTCTGGGTTCGCCTGGGGGTGTTTGGGCTCCGCCCTGCAAATCTGCTCCTGGACCCTGGAGGAAGCCAGGGTGGGGGGTGGCCCATCTGGCCCCCAGTTCCACATGAGAACAGAGGTGCAGGAATCTCTTCCCTTTCCTGATGTGGGGGGAGTGGGGATTGGGGTGGGGGAGTGAATTTGTGACCCAATGGGTCCCTTCATGGCCAAATAGACCCAGAAGCCCCAGGGCATGAGGACCCCAGACCACAGTGACATTGAGATGCAGTATTTGCTTGCGTGTGTGTGTATGTGTATATGTGTGTGAGCGTATGTGTGCATGTGTATGTGTGTACGCGTGTGTGTGGTGTGTGTGGTGTATGTGTGTGTGTGTGGTGTGTATGGTGTGTGTGTGTGT